AAAAAGATCATTACATATACGAGTTACATAGTTCTCTTACCGATAAATATAAGATGTTTTGTGACCTTCATCTTCAGGAGATGTTTGTTGTGAAAGTCTTAATATGAGTTGTGACTCTGAGTGAGGTGTTGTTGTTGAGTCAAGTGTTGAGTGTGAGTCTCGAGGAGGAGGTGAGGTGAGGAGGAAGACCAGAGCGAGAGTTGTGATGCTGGGTCCAATTGGCGCCGCTTTATATACATGGTCGGGGGGCAGACACTCCGGGGGGCTCAAGGTCGCTAGATGGTGAGAGGAACTGTATTGGATGACCTGCTTGGCTTATATTAAGTAGAACACTGCTGGTTGGGTCATAGACCTTGGCACTACCATATTTTGTTAAAGCCTGAAATGTTATGGAACAGGTAAATTTAGAGAGAAACTTATGTAAAAGCTCATATATAAATTTAATGAAAAAAATGAAAAAGTTATTATACATTACGGTGTCTTTAGTTTTAATTGATTCCTTTAAAATTCTGAATTACCTTCATACTGTTGATATATACAGACGAATCAGCAAACGTTCACTCAGTATGGGAATTCCTCTTACTGAACTAATGGGTAAATATAAACAGAATTTATCATCAACTGAGACTTTTTTAATGATGAATACCTTTATGATAAGTTTTCCCTCAGGTGTTAAAGTATTTATTTATCGTTGTTTGATGTACAGACGAGATAGGACAGTAGTTTGTGTTGGCAACAGTGGTGATGGGAGGACAAGAGGTGGTGGAGGGAGTGGCTGTGGTATAAGGCTGGACTGTGGTATAAAGTAGGGCTGTGGTATAAGGCTAGACTGTGGTATAAGGCTGGAATGTAGTATACGGCTGGACTGTGGTATAAGGCTGGACTGTGGTATAAGGCTGGACTGTGGTATAAGGCTGGACTGTGGTATAATGTAGGACTGTGGTATAAGGCTGGATTGCGGTATAAGGCTGGACTGTGGTATAATGTAGGACTGTGGTATGAGGCTGGATTGTGGTATAAGGCTGGACTGTGGTATAAGGCTGGACTGTGGTATAAGGCTGGACTGTGGTATAAGGCTGGGCTGTGGTATAAGGCTGGACTGTGGTATAATTTAGGACTGTGGTATAAGGCTGGATTGTGGTATAAGGCTGGACTGTGGTATAAGGCTGGACTGTGGTATAAGGCCGGACTGTGGTATAAGGCTGGACTGTGGTATAAGGCTGGGCAGTGGTATAAAACTGGACTCTTTAATATTAATTAAAATGAAAGTAAATTTGTAACCGATGAGAAAATTCTTCCCTTGTTTGAAAAAAGGTGAAGGAAATTATGATATTTGACAGTTGTTGTTTACAGAAGGTGAGACATTGAGTTATGAAAGCAACTCACGTGACCAGGTGAGGAACTCTGACTTTCACTGACGAGATTAAACTTTTCATAATAGATCTTTCGTTTATGAATATATCTCGTCCTATCTACAGGTTAGGTTAGGTTAGGTTAGGTAAAAGTAGTGAGATATAAGGAGAATTTATGTTATAGTCTCGGTATTGTCTTTATCGTCGATGTAAACAATATTGAGTTTCTGGGTTTTTTTCAACTGAATGAAAGTTTTTTTTTTGTCTTTCTGTAACAATATCACCTAATTAGCTTATTAAATTTCGTCAAGATCCACCAAAATTAATTAAAACATAAGTTCTTTTGTCTTTACTTTTATTCTTGTTCTTTAGTAAATCTCATCAAATTCGAGTATATTTATTTTCCTTTTGAGACTTTTAATATAATTTCTAGTAAATTTTATGAAAAAAATATTATGATACCTTATAATTATTGTAACGTAAACATGATCCTTGTTTGTAAAGTTATGTACCAAGTTGATTAACTATTTCTCCCGTGTTGTGGTTCATCTGCCTCCATACAACACTTCACATTCCTTCATTATACTTTAATTGTTAGGTTGTTTCGTCAGGTTTGTTCATACTAACACTATCATTTAGGAAACATCTCACTTGTACAGTGCAGTAGAAAGTCCTGTCGCCTCTCCTGCTGCTTCATGAACCCAGTAATTCAGACTCGTGAATCCATAAAATCCGTGGACACAATAATGCATCAATGTCTACTGCTTCGGGTTCACGAGTCTGAATCTCAGGGTTAGTGAAGCAGCAGGAGAGACGACAGGAGTTTTGACCGTGGCTGCACAGCACTATCGTGGACATGAGTTCGCTCCTTCCCAAACTGAAGCAGTATCGACCCTCACAGGACACCAGCACCAGATAACAATGAGGGTAAGTCAGTTCGGAGACTCATTCCCGTGTCTCAGTTTCACTACAGGGAGCGAACTTTTGTCCACGATAGTACATGTTCCAAAAATACTCATTCCCACTTCGATACAGATTCAATGAACGATTACGAAACACGAATCGAGGGTCAACTTTATAAGCGAGTCAGTAATTCTCTCCTTTACTAATTTCTTTACATTCCTCTAATACCGATTCCACACAAACACACACATATTCACTTCTTTTCTGGCCATCATTTGAACAATCTATAAAGTTCCATTGAAATCCTATGCTTAGGTTTCACAATACCGTGTTCACACACACACACAGAGGAAGTAAAGCAATCATCCCTACATGGGGTGAGAAGACAAGGTTCAATAACTGTCAGCCAGGATTGTCGACTGTGTATTGAAAAGTTTTGTGTTGGCAGTTTCATAAGTAAGCCTTAATATATTTCAATAATTAGGGAACAAAGATATAAAACTAAGAGTATATTAGAACTATTTTTCATTCATTTAAGACTACTTTCACTACATCACAGAATTGCCGGAAACAAACAAACTTCCTCTTCATTCGTTATCATTCATTCACTCTTTCTGCTACAACAGATAGGTTCTGCTGTAGTGTTCTCCTCTCATAACAAGACCTCAAGGTATCTGTTTGGTTTATTCTGTCTTTCCATATAACTTGGGATCACACGACAGTAACACCGTCGGCCACAACAACTGGTCGACGCCATGGTCTCTCTCCTCATTCATAAACATATCAACGTCTTGTTTGTCCACCATCTTGATTTCTTGAGTTCTTCTTCCAGCTCGATAATCTCCTTCTAGGTGTTCCTCTCTTCCTCCCTCCATCTCTCCTTCTCTTCCTTCCTACCTTCTTCCTACTCCGTCCGTCTCTCCCTTCCCCTACCATCCTCTTCTGAACTATACATCGGATTTATCAGTCTTTCCCTTACCATTCTCTCAATATGCCAGTAACACCACAACAAACTCCTGTTGTCATATCTCTGCCAGACACTTCCTTCACTCTCACATCTCTTCCTTAGTTCTATTTTTCTTGTTTTATTTGTTCTATTACCCAACATATGATTCTTAAGTTCTTTATTTTTCCTTCTAATTTACTTGTTACTCTTTCATTCAGGGTCCAGCTTGACACATATCACTACGTGTAACTAAAGTAGAGAAATACGTGTTGCGTTCTCGCACTGTAAGACGTAGCTTGAGTGACCGAACATAGTGATGATCTAGTGAGGAGGAATCATGGGAATCCTTGACCATGGAAGCCTAAGCAGGTGTGTACATACGCTAAAGAAGTAATTAGTTTAAAGTTGACTCTTAATTTGGTTTTATGTATCGAGGTGAGAAAGTTTTTCTCCAGGGTGATAATTTAGTGTCAACTAGTTCTTGAGGTAAGGTGTTCTCCATCAACCCACCAAGATGGGAGGGGATACGTGCCTAACTATAAGGTCATGAAGGAAATGGAGAATGATGATTTTAACTCCGAACTCTTAGAAAAATACAAAATGCCAGGGAGTTGAGGGAGGGAGGGAGGGAAAATACATGTACAAATACAACTAAAAAATATTGGTTTTATTTCCTTCTTGTTCACTTGTTTCTGTACATGAAATCTTAGAGTGGTATTTGGGTACAATTGATAGATATGAACTGTATTGTACTATTAATAACGAGTTTCCATTTTTTTTGATCCATGTTGTATAACCAAACAATCCTATCATTACATCTTGTTAATATTCATGTGAATCATATTTGATGTTTTGATGAAGATGACAGCTACTGCAGGTACAATACTAGATCTTCAGAATTATTGTAAATCTGAAAGAATTCTATTGTTTAAGTCGTGATAAGAATAGGATATAAACACATTGTATAATAATATTATTTATTATTTTTTTAGATTATATTTGTCATAAGAAAATATAATAAGCATCTTGAAGCAACAAATAAAGGTTGTCAACTACACTTTGTAATTATAAATAATAAACAAAATATTGATTAATCTCGAGTAAAGATTTAGTTGAACTCTTAACAAGTAACAAGTTAATTTTTGGAAAACATTTTAAGCTCCCTGACCACACCTCAATATAACAATACTTTAGAACATACAGCAGATAATGAAGTAATTTAATTAACTTGAAACCACGGCCGAGTTATTTATTATACAGAAAAAATACTGTTAACTGAATCACAAAGATTTATACAAGATTTCCTGGATTATTTTTTGGAACACCGCAATTAATAATTTAGAAAAAGACGCTCATGTTCACAGGTGCAACATAAGTTGTAAATGTATAATAACTTTATATAAGTACATAAGTGTATTAAGTTGTAGATAAAAGAGTGAGAACTAGAGCAAGCATGTACAGTATATAGTTACTAGGTACAGCATACTATGGTCCTGACCCTGCCATGTCAGGCTCAGCTGGTTAGCTTAGTCGTTTTAGCTGCCTCTTAAGGAAGGTAAAGCTGACATCTCTCACATATATTAATTCCTGGAAGGAGTGAAAGACACAGACAAATGTCCTCTAACTGCAGCTTCGGTGTATGATAACAAAAAGTTTGTAAGAGTTGAGACAGATGTGGGAGGCAACACTTAGAAGGCGGGCGTCTGGTACAGGCCGGAGGGAGAGGCTGGCGCCGGTATGCTCAACCCGTTCCCGTTGACTCCGTTGCCGTTGGTGTATCCATTACCGTTGCCGTTGATGAGACCATTACCGTTGCCATTGAAAAGTCCATTACCGTTCCCATTGATAATACCATTACCGTTGCCATTGGCGTATCCGTTACCGTTTCCATTACCGTTGGTGTATCCGTTTCCATTTCCGTTGATTCCGTTACCGTTAGTGTATCCATTACCGTTGCCGTTGATAAGACCATTACCATTACCGTTGATAAGACCATTTCCATTTACGTTGCCATTAATTCCATTACCGTTGCCATTTCCATAACTGTTGCCATTGCCGTTGATGAGACCATTTCCATTTACTGCACCGTTGGCATATCCATTGCCATTGCCGTTTCCATTAGCATAACCGTTGCCATTAGCGTGTCCGTTTCCATTACCATTGACGACACCATTTCCATTACTGCACCATTGACGTATCCGTTACCATTACCGTTGATTCGTTTACGTTAATTATATCCATTACCGTTGCCCGTTGATAAGAATAGTACCATTTCCGTTGCCATTAATTCCGTTGCCGTTGATAAATTGTGCATTTCACGTTGCCATTAATTCGTTACCTTTGCCATTTACTAACCGTTGCCATTACCGTGATGGGTCCATTTTCCATTTACTGCACCATTGACGTATCCATTACCATTACCGTTGCCATTAGCATAACCGTTGCCATTGCCATTGATGAGTCCATTTCCATTTACTGCACCATTGACGTAGCCATTGCCATTACCGTTGCCATTAGCATAACCATTGCCATTAGCATATCCGTTTCCATTACCATTGACGACACCATTTCCATTTACTGCACCATTGACGTATCCGTTACCATTACCGTTGCCATTAGCATAACCGTTGCCATTGCCATTGATGAGTCCATTTCCATTTACGCCACCATTGACGTATCCATTGCCATTACCGTTGCCATTAGCATAACCATTGCCATTAGCGTATCCGTTTCCATTACCGTTGACGACACCATTTCCGTTTACTGCACCATTGCCATTTGCTCCGTTACCGTAAATCCCGTTACCGTTAATAATGCCATTGACGATGCCGTTGGAGTATCCGTTGCCATTACCGTTGACCACTCCGATCTGAGCGTTGAGACTGTAGAACTGCGGGGCGGTGGAACAGTCAAAGTTGTACCACCAGTCACACACGAAGAACTGTTGGTTGAAGATGGTGCCGTTGGGACACAGGAAGGAGTCGCTCCTGCCATCTGCCTGACAGATGTGAAACACCTGTCGAGGACAACATTATCAATTAACCTGAAGATAAGCAACATCTACTTTAAACAACATTATTATGGAAACAGATAAATGCTTCAAGTTCTATTATCAAAAATCTTAAGGAATAAAGGAATATATCTTCTTTATACAGCAGGAGACGTAACAACTAAACCTTCATAAAATTCAGAATGTATTAGTTTATATGACATAAGACTCAGCTGACAGCCGGCCTCGGGGGCAGTATAAAACCCAGCTGACAGCCGGCCTCGGGGGCAGTATAAGACTCAGCTGACAGCCGGCCTCGGGGGCAGTAAAAGACTCACCTGACAGCCGGCCTCGAGGGCAGTATCAGCGTAGTATCCGGGTATTAGTCCGCCGCAGGAGAATCCAGTGAAGGGGACAGAAGCCAGGATGGGATAGTCCACGCCGGGGACGCCACCACCTCCAATAGCATCTGCAAGGGCGCTGATGGGGCCCACGATGCCGTTGTAGTATCCGTTCCCGTTAACAGCGCCGTTGCCGTTGACTAAACCATTACCATTTCCATTGGCATATCCGTTCCCATTAACAGCACCATTGCCGTTGACTAAACCATTACCATTTCCATTGGTATATCCGTTCCCGTTAACACCACCGTTGCCGTTGACAAAACCATTACCATTTCCATTGGCATATCCGTTTCCGTTAACAACACCGTTGCCGTTGACAATAAGTCCATTACCGTTGCCATAACCACCATTGGTGTATCCGTTACCATTTCCGTTGATTACTCCGTTTCCATTGCCGTTTGTATATACTCCGTTACCATTTCCGCCATTTACATATCCATTACCATTTCCATTACCGTTTACAATCACACCATTTCCATTTAAACCATTGGCGTATCCGTTACCATTTCCATTGACTAACCCATTTCCGTTGCCGTTTAGAATCACACCGTTGCCATTTCCATTAATTCCATTATTATAACCTCCATTACCGTTACCATTACCGTTGCCACCGTTGAAGCCGTTCGTTGGAGTTAAATAATTTAGGTTGACCGCCCAGGATGACGCAACTAGCGAGGCTGAGAAAATAAAGAAAGTAAAACTTATTGTAAATTACGACAAAAATTACATAGATGTTAATGGAAGGAAAATTCTTATACATGATAATTGAGTTTTTAGTTTACGTTTGTGTTCAGTAATGAATAAGAGAGAGAGTTAGTCTTCTGAGATACATTAGAAACTTAATGAAAAAGATCACTACATATACGAGTTACATAGTTCTCTTACCGATAAATATAAGATGTTTTGTGACCTTCATCTTCAGGAGATGTTTGTTGTGAAAGTCTTAATATGAGTTGTGACTCTGAATGAGTGTTGTTGTTGAGTCAAGTGTTGAGTGTGAGTCTCGAGGAGGAGGTGAGGTGAGGAGGAAGACCAGAGCAAGAGTTGTGATGCTGGGTCCAACTGGCGCCGCTTTATATACATGGTCGGGGGGCAGACACTCCGGGAGGCTCAAGGTCGCTAGATGGTGAGAGGAACTGTATTGGGTGACCTGCTTGGCTGATATTAAGTAGAACACTGCTGGTTGGGTCATAGACCTTGACACTACCATATTTTTTTTAAGCCTGACATGTTATGGAATAGGTAATTTTAGAGAGAAACTTATGTAAAAGCTCATGTACAAATTTAATGAAAAAAAAGAAAAAGTTATTATACATTAGGGTGTCTTTAGTATTAATTGATTCCTTTAAAATTCTGGATTACCTTCATACTGTTGATATATACAGAAGAATCAGCAACGTTCACTCAGTATGGGAATTCCTCTTATGCAATACTGAACTAATGGGTAAATATAAACAGAATTTATCATCAACTGAGACTTTTTTAGTGATGAAAACCTTTATGATAAGTTTTCCCTCAGGTGTTAAAGTATTTATTTATCGTTGGTTGATGTACAGACGAGATAGGACAGTAGTTTGTGTTGGCAACAGTGGTGATGGGAGGACACGAGGTGGTGGAGGGAGTGGCTGTGGTATAAGGCTGGACTCTGGTATAAAGTAGGGCTGTGGCATAAGGCTGGACTGTAGTATAAGGCTGGACTGTGATATAAGGCTGGGATCAGGTATATTGGATCAGGTATATGGGCTGTACTGTGGTATAAGCCTGACTGTGGTATAATGTGGTGACTGTGGTATAAGGCTGGATTGCGGTATAAGGCTGACTGTGGTATAAGGCTGACTGTGGGTATAAGGCTGGCCAGGTATAAGGCTGACTGTGGTATAATGTAGGACTGTGGTATAAGGCTGGACTCTGGTATAAAGTAGGGCTGTGGCATAAGGCTGGACTGTAGTATAAGGCTGGACTGTGATATAAGGCTGGACTGTGGTATAAGGCTGGGTTGTGGTATAAAACTGGACTCTTAAATTTTAATTAAAATGAAAGTAAATTTGTAACCGATGAGAAAATTCTTCCCTTGTTTGAAAAAAGGTGAAGGAACTTATGATATTTGACAGTTGTTGTTTACAGAAGGTGAGACATTGAGTTATGAAAGCAACTCACGTGACCTGGTGAGGAACTCTGACTTTCACTGACGAGATTAAACTTTTCATAATAGATCTTTAGTTTATTAATATATCTCGTCCTATCTACAGGTTAGGTTAGGTTAGGTTAGGTAAAAGTAGTGAGATATAAGGAGAATTTATGTTATAGTCTCTGTATTGTCTTTATCGTCGATGTAAACAATATTGAATTTCTGTTTTGTTTTTTTCAACTGAATGGAAGTTTTTTTTGTCTTTCTGTAACAATATCACATAATTAGCTTATTAAGTTTCATCAAGATCCACCATAATTAATTAAATGATAAGTTATTTTGTATTTACTTTTTTTCTTGTTCTTTGGTAAATCTCATCAAATTCGAGTATACTTATTTTCCTTTTGAGACGTTTAATAAAATTTCTTGTAAATTTTATGAAAAAACTATTATGATACCTTATAATTATTGTAACGTAAACATGATCCTTGTTTGTAAAGTTATGTACCAAGTTGATCAACTATTTTTCCGGTGTTGTGGTTCATCTGCCTCCACAGAACACTTCACATTCCTTCATTATACTTTAATTGTTAGGTTGTTTCGTCAGGTTTGTTCATACTAACACTATCATTTAGGAAACATCTCACTTGTACAGTACAGTATAAAGTCCTGTCGCCTCTCCTGCTGCTTCATGAATCCAGCAATTCAGACTCGTGAATCCAAAGAATCCGTGGACACAATAATGCATCAATGTCTACTGCCTCGGGTTCGCGAGTCTGAATCTCAGGGTTAGTGAAGCAGCAGGAGAGACGACAGGACTTTTGACCGTGGCTGCACAGTACTATCGTGGACAAAGGTTTGCTCCTTCCCAAACTGAAGCAGTATCGACCCTCACAGCACACCAGCACCAGATAACAATGAGGGTAAGTCAGTTCGGAGACTCATTCCCGTGTCTCAGTTTCACTACAGGGAGCGAACTTTTGTCAACGATAGTACATGTTCCAAAAATACTCATTCCCACGTCGATACACATTCAATGAACGATTACGAAACACGAATCGAGGGTCAAATTTCTAAGCGAGTCAGTAATTCTCTCCTTTACGAATTTCTTTACATTCCTCTAATTCCGATTCCACACAAACACACACATATTCACTTCTTTTCTGGCCATCATTTGAACAATCTATAAAGTTCCATTGAAATCCTATGCTTAGGTTTCACAATACCCTGTTCACACACACACATAAACAGAGGAAGTAAAGCAATCATCCCTACATGGGGTGAGAAGACAAGGTTCAATAACTGTCAGCCAGGATTGTCGACTGTGTATTGAAAAGTTTTGTGTTGGCAGTTTCATAAGTAAGCCTTAATATATTTCAATAATTAAGGTAACAAAGATATAAAACTACGAGTATATTAGAACTATTTTTCATTCATTTAAAACTACTTTCACTACATCACAGAATTGCCGGAAACAAACAAACTTTCTCTTCATTCGTTATCATTCATTCACTCTTTTTGCTACAACAGATAGGTTCTGCTGTAGTGTTCTCCTCTCATAACAAGACCTCAAGGTATCTGTTTGGTTTATTCTGTCTTTCCATATAACTTGGGATCACCCGTCAGTAACACAGTCGGCCACAATAACTGGTCGACGCCATGGTCTCTCTCCTCATTCATAAACATATCAACGTCTTGTTTGTCCACCATCTTGATTTCTTGAGTTCTTCTTCCAGCTCGATAATCTCCTTCTAGGTGTTCCTCTCTTCCTCCCTCCATCTCTCCTTCTCTTCCTTCCTACCTTCTTCCTACTCCGTCCGTCTCTCCCTTCCCCTACCATCCTCTTCTGAACTATACATCGGATTTATCAGTCTTTCCCTTACCATTCTCTCAATATGCCAGTAACACCACAACAAACTCCTGTTGTCATATCTCTGCCAGACACTTCCTTCACTCTCACATCTCTTCCTTAGTTCTATTTTTCTTGTTTTATTTGTTCTATTACCCAACATATGATTCTTAAGTTCTTTATTTTTCCTTCTAATTTACTTGTTACTCTTTCATTCAGGGTCCAGCTTGACACATATCACTACGTGTAACTAAAGTAGAGAAATACGTGTTGCTTTCTCACACTGCAAGACGTAGCTTGAGTGACCGAACTTAGTGATGATCTAGTGAGGAGGAATCATGGGAATCCTTGACCATGGAAGCCTAAGTAGGTGTGTACATACGCTGAAGAAGTAATTAGTTTAAAGTTGACTCTTAATTTGGTTTTATGTATCGAGGTGAGAAAGTTTTTCTCCAGGGTGATAATTTAGTGTCTATTGGGGCCTATGGTGGTGTGGCCTGCACTAATGTGAGTATGGCCGCGCTCTACATCACAGTTCATTGTCAACCAGTTCTTGAGGTAAGGTGTTCTCCCTCAACCCACCAAGATGGGAGGGGATACGTGCCTAACTGTAAGGTCATGAAGGAAATGGAGAATGATGATTTTAACTCCTAACTCTTAGAAAAATACAAAATGCCAGGGAGTTGAGGGAGGGAGGGAGGGAAAATACATGTACATATACAACTAAAAAATATTGTTTTTATTTCCTTCTTGTTCACTTGGTTCTGTACATGAAATCTTCGAGTGGTATTTGGGTACAATTGATAGATATGAACTGTATTGTACTACTAATAACGAGTTTCCATTTATTTTTAATCCATGTTTTATAACCAAACAATCCTATCATTACACCTTGTTAATCTTCATGTGAATCATATTTGATGTTTTAATGAAGATGACAGCTACTGCAGGTACAATACTAGATCTTCAGAATTATTGTAAATCTGAAAGAAATCTATTGTTTAAGTCGTGATAAGAATAGGATAAAAACACATTGCATAATAATATTATTTATTATTTTTTTAGATTATATTTGTCATAAGAAAATATAATAAGCATCTTGAAGCAACAAATAAAGGTTGTCAACTACACTTTGTAATTATATATAATAAACAAAATATTGATTAATCTCGAGTAAAGATTTAGTTGAACTCTTAACAAGTAACAAGTTAATTTTTGGAAAACATTTTAAGCTCCCTGACCACACCTCAATATAACAATACTTTAGAACATACAGCAGATAATGAAGTAATTTAATTAACTTGAAACCACGACCGAGTTATTTATTATACAGAAAAAATACTGTTAACTGAATCACAAAGATTTATACAAGATTTCCTGGATTATTTTTTAGAACACCGCAATTAATAATTTAGAAAAAGACGCTCATGTCCACAGGTGCAACATAAGTTGTAAATGTATTATAACTTTATATAAGTACATAAGTTTATTAAGTTGCAGATAAAAGAGTGAGAACTAGAGCAAGCATGTACAGTACATAGTTACTAGGTACAGCATACTATGGTCCTGACCCTGCCATGTCAGGCTCAGCTGGTTAGCTTAGTCGTTTTAGCTGCCTCTTAAGGAAGGTAAAGCTGACATCTCTCACATATATTAATTCCTGGAAGTAGTGAAAGACACAGACAAATGTCCTCTAACTGCAGCTTCGGTGTATGATAACAAAAAGTTTGTAAGAGTTGAGACAGATGTGGGAGGCAACACTTAGAAGGCGGGCGTCTGGTACAGGCCGGAGGGAGAGGCTGGCGCCGGTATGCTCAACCCGTTCCCGTTGACTCCGTTGCCGTTGGTGTATCCATTACCGTTGCCGTTGATGAGACCATTACCGTTGCCATTGAAAAGTCCATTACCGTTCCCATTGATAATACCATTACCGTTGCCATTGGCGTATCCGTTACCGTTTCCATTACCGTTGGTGTATCCGTTTCCATTTCCGTTGATTCCGTTACCGTTAGTGTATCCATTACCGTTGCCGTTGATAAGACCATTACCATTACCGTTGATAAGACCATTTCCATTTACGTTGCCATTAATTCCATTACCGTTGCCATTTGCATAACCGTTGCCATTGCCGTTGATGAGACCATTTCCATTTACTGCACCGTTGGCATATCCATTGCCATTGCCGTTTCCATTAGCATAACCGTTGCCATTACCATTGATGAGTCCATTTCCATTTACTGCACCATTGGCGTATCCATTGCCATTACCGTTGCCATTAGCATAACCGTTGCCATTGCCATTGATGAGTCCATTTCCATTTACTGCACCATTGGCGTATCCATTGCCATTACCGTTGCCATTAGCATAACCGTTGCCATTACCATTGATGAGTCCATTTCCATTTACTGCACCATTGGCGTATCCATTGCCATTACCGTTGCCATTAGCGTATCCGTTTCCATTACCATTGACGACACCATTTCCATTTACTGCACCATTGACGTATCCGTTACCATTACCGTTGCCATTAGCATAACCGTTGCCATTGCCATTGATGAGTCCATTTCCATTTACTCCACCATTGACGTATCCATTGCCATTACCGTTGCCATTAGCATAACCATTGCCATTAGCGTATCCGTTTCCATTACCGTTGACGACACCATTTCCGTTTACTGCACCATTGCCATTTGCTCCGTTACCGTAAATCCCGTTACCGTTAATAATGCCATTGACGATGCCGTTGGAGTATCCGTTGCCATTACCGTTGACCACTCCGATCTGAGCGTTGAGACTGTAGAACTGCGGGGCGGTGGAACAGTCAAAGTTGTACCACCAGTCACACACGAAGAACTGTTGGTTGAAGATGGTGCCGTTGGGACACAGGAAGGAGAAGATGGTGCCGTTGGGACACAGGAAGGAGTCGCTCCTGCCATCTGCCTGACAGATGTGAAACACCTGTCGAGGACAACATTATCAATTAACCTGAAGATAAGCAACATCTACTTTAAACAACATTATTATGGAAACAGATAAATGCTTCAAGTTCTATTATCAAAAATCTTAAGGAATAAAGGAATATATCTTCTTTATACAGCAGGAGACGTAACAACTAAACCTTCATAAAATTCAGAATGTATTAGTTTATATGACATAAGACTCAGCTGACAGCCGGCCTCGGGGCAGTATAAAACCCAGCTGACAGCCGGCCTCGGGGGCAGTATAAGACTCAGCTGACAGCCGGCCTCGGGGGCAGTAAAAGACTCACCTGACAGCCGGCCTCGAGGGCAGTATCAGCGTAGTATCCGGGTATTAGTCCGCCGCAGGAGAATCCAGTGAAGGGGACAGAAGCCAGGATGGGATAGTCCACGCCGGGGACGCCACCACCTCCAATAGCATCTGCAAGGGCGCTGATGGGGCCCACGATGCCGTTGTAGTATCCGTTCCCGTTAACAGCGCCGTTGCCGTTGACTAAACCATTACCATTTCCATTGGCATATCCGTTCCCATTAACAGCACCATTGCCGTTGACTAAACCATTACCATTTCCATTGGTATATCCGTTCCCGTTAACACCACCGTTGCCGTTGACAAAACCATTACCATTTCCATTGGCATATCCGTTTCCGTTAACAACACCGTTGCCGTTGACAATAAGTCCATTACCGTTGCCATAACCACCATTGGTGTATCCGTTACCATTTCCGTTGATTACTCCGTTTCCATTGCCGTTTGTATATACTCCGTTACCATTTCCGCCATTTACATATCCATTACCATTTCCATTACCGTTTACAATCACACCATTTCCATTTAAACCATTGGCGTATCCGTTACCATTTCCATTGACTAACCCATTTCCGTTGCCATTTCCATTAATTCCATTATTATAACCTCCATTACCGTTACCATTACCGTTGCCACCATTGAAGCCGTTCGTTGGAGTTAAATAATTTAGGTTGACCGCCCAGGATGACGCAACTAGCGAGGCTGAGAAAATAAAGAAAGTAAAACTTATTGTAAATTACGACAAAAATTACATAGATGTTAATGGAAGGAAAATTCTTATACGTGATAATTGAGCTTTTAGTTTACGTTTGTGTTCAGTAATGAATAAGAGAGAGAGTTAGTCTTCTGAGATACATTAGAAACTTAATGAAAAAGGTCATTACATATACGAGTTACATAGTTCTCTTACCGATAAATATAAGATGTTTTGTGACCTTCATCTTCAGGAGATGTTTGTTGTGAAAGTCTTAATATGAGTTGTGACTCTGAGTGAGGTGTTGTTGTTGAGTCAAGTGTTGAGTGTGAGTCTCGAGGAGGAGGTGAGGTGAGGAGGAAGACCAGAGCGAGAGTTGTGATGCTGGGTCCAATTGGCGCCGCTTTATATACATGGTCGGGGGGCAGACACTCCGGGGGGCTCAAGGTCGCTAGATGGTGAGAGGAACTGTATTGGATGACCTGCTTGGCTTATATTAAGTAGAACACTGCTGGTTGGGTCATAGACCTTGGCACTACCATATTTTGTTAAAGCCTGAAATGTTATGGAACAGGTAAATTTAGAGAGAAACTTATGTAAAAGCTCATATATAAATTTAATGAAAAAAATGAAAAAGTTATTATACATTACGGTGTCTTTAGTTTTAATTGATTCCTTTAAAATTCTGAATTACCTTCATACTGTTGATATATACAGACGAATCAGCAAACGTTCACTCAGTATGGGAATTCCTCTTACTGAACTAATGGGTAAATATAAACAGAATTTATCATCAACTGAGACTTTTTTAATGATGAATACCTTTATGATAAGTTTTCCCTCAGGTGTTAAAGTATTTATTTATCGTTGTTTGATGTACAGACGAGATAGGACAGTAGTTTGTGTTGGCAACAGTGGTGATGGGAGGACAAGAGGTGGTGGAGGGAGTGGCTGTGGTATAAGGCTGGACTGTGGTATAAAGTAGGGCTGTGGTATAAGGCTAGACTGTGGTATAAGGCTGGAATGTAGTATACGGCTGGACTGTGGTATAAGGCTGGACTGTGGTATAAGGCTGGACTGTGGTATAAGGCTGGACTGTGGTATAATGTAGGACTGTGGTATAAGGCTGGATTGCGGTATAAGGCTGGACTGTGGTATAATGTAGGACTGTGGTATGAGGCTGGATTGTGGTATAAGGCTGGACTGTGGTATAAGGCTGGACTGTGGTATAAGGCTGGACTGTGGTATAAGGCTGGGCTGTGGTATAAGGCTGGACTGTGGTATAATTTAGGACTGTGGTATAAGGCTGGATTGTGGTATAAGGCTGGACTGTGGTATAAGGCTGGACTGTGGTATAAGGCCGGACTGTGGTATAAGGCTGGACTGTGGTATAAGGCTGGGCAGTGGTATAAAACTGGACTCTTTAATATTAATTAAAATGAAAGTAAATTTGTAACCGATGAGAAAATTCTTCCCTTGTTTGAAAAAAGGTGAAGGAACTTATGATATTTGACAGTTGTTGTTTACAGAAGGTGAGACATTGAGTTATGAAAGCAACTCACGTGACCTGGTGAGGAACTCTGACTTTCACTGACGAGATTAAACTTTTCATAATAGATCTTTCGTTTATGAATATATCTCGTCCTATCTACAGGTTAGGTTAGGTTAGGTTAGGTAAAAGTAGTGAGATATAAGGAGAATTTATGTTATTGTCTCGGTATTGTCTTTATCGTCGATGTAAACAATATTGAGTTTCTGTTTTTTTTTCAACTGAATGAAAGTTTTTTTTTTGTCTTTCTGTAATAATATCACCTAATTAGCTTATTAAATTTCGTCAAGATCCACCAAAATTAATTAAAACATAAGTTCTTTTGTTTTTACTTTTATTCTTGTTCTTTAGTAAATCTCATCAAATTCGAGTATATTTATTTTCCTTTTGAGACTTTTAATATAATTTCTAGTAAATTTTATGAAAAAACTATTATGATACCTTATAATTATTGTAACATAAACATGATCCTTGTTTGTAAAGTTATGTACCAAGTTGATCAACTATTTTTCCCGTGTTGTGGTTCATCTGCCTCCATACAACACTTCACATTCCTTCATTATACTTTAATTGTTAGGTTGTTTCGTCAGGTTTGTTCATACTAACACTATCATTCAGGAAACATCTCACTTGTACAGTACAGTATAAAGTCCTGTCGCCTCTCCTGCTGCTTCATGAATCCAGTAAATCAGACTCGTGAATCCAAAGAATCCGTGGACACAATAATGCATAAATGTCTACTGCTTCGGGTTCACGAGTCTGAATCTCAGGGTTAGTGAAGCAGCAGGAGAGACGACAGGAGTTTTGACCGTGGCTGCACAGTACTATCGTGGACAAAAGTTTGCTCCTTCCCAAACTGAAGCAGCATCGACCCTCACAGCACACCAGCACCAGATAACAATGAGGGTAAGTCAGTTCGGCGACTCATTCCCGTGTCTCAGTTTCACTACAGGGAGCGAACTTTTGTCCACGATAGTACATGTTCCAAAAATACTCATTCCCACTTCGATACAGATTCAATGAACGAATACGAAACACGAATCGAGGGTCAAATATATAAGCGAGTCAGTAATTCTCTCCTTTACTAATTTCTTTACATTCCTCTAATACCAATTCCACACAAACACACACATATTCACTTCTTTTCTGGCCATCATTTGAACAATCTATAAAGTTCCATTGAAATCCTATGCTTAGGGTTCACAATACCCTGTTCACACACACACACACAGAGGAAGTAAAGCAATCATCCCTACATGGGGTGAGAAGACAAGGTTCAATAGCTGTCAGCCAGGATTGTCGACTGTGTATTGAAAAGTTTTGTGTTGGCAGTTTCATAAGTAAGCCTTAATATATTTCAATAATTGAGGGAACAAAGATATAAAACTAAGAGTATATTAGAACTATTTTTCATTCATTTAAAACTACTTTCACTACATCACAGAATTGCCAGAAACAAACAAACTTTCTCTTCATTCGTTATCATTCATTCACTCTTTCTGCTACAACAGATAGGTTCTGCTGTAGTGTTCTCCTCTCATAACAAGACCTCAAGGTATCTGTTTGGTTTATTCTGTCTTTCCATATAACTTGGGATCACCCGTCAGTAACACCGTCGGCCACAACAACTGGTCGACGCCATGGTCTCTCTCCTCATTCATAAACATATCAACGTCTTGTTTGTCCACCATCTTGATTTCTTGAGTTCTTCTTCCAGCTCGATAATCTCCTTCTAGGTGTTCCTCTCTTCCTCCCTCCATCTCTCCTTCTCTTCCTTCCTACCTTCTTCCTACTCCGTCCGTCTCTCCCTTCCCTTACCATCCTCTTCTGAACTATACATCGGATTTATCAGTCTTTGCCTTACCATTCTCTCAATATGCCAGTAACACCACAACAAACTCCTGTTGTCATATCTCTGCCAGACACTTCCTTCACTCTCACATCTCTTCCTTAGTTCTATTTTTCTTATTTTATTTGTTCTATTACCCAACATATGATTCTTAAGTTCTTTATTTTTCCTTCTAATTTACTTGTTACTCTTTCATTCAGGGTCCAGCTTGACACATATCACTACGTGTAACTAAAGTAGAGAAATACGTGTTGCTTTCTCACACTGTAAGACGTAGCTTGAGTGACCGAACTTAGCGATGATCTAGTGAGGAGGAATCATGGGAATTCTTGACCATGGAAGCCTAAGCAGGTGTGTACATACGCTGAAGAAGTAATTAGTTTAAAGTTGACTCTTAATTTGGTTTTATGTATCGAGGTGAGAAACGTTTTTTTCCAGGGTGATAATTTATTGTCAACCACTTGAGGTAAGGTGTCTCCTCAACCTACCAAGATGGAAGCGATACGCTCATCAGGTCAGTGAGCGAAATGGAGAATGATGATTTTAACTCCAACCTTAGAAAATGCAAAATGCCAGGGGAGTTGAGGGAGGAGGGAGGAAAATACATGTACATATAACAACTAAAAAATATTGGTTTTATTTCCTTCTTGTTCACTTGTTTCTGTACATGAAATCTTAGAGTGGTATTTGGGTACAATTGATAGATATGAACTGTATTGTACTATTAATAACGAGTTTCCATTTTTTTTAATCCATGTTGTATAACCAAACAATCCTATCATTACATCTTGTTAATATTCATGTGAATCATATTTGATGTTTTGATGAAGATGACAGCTACTGCAGGTACAATACTAGATCTTCAGAATTATTGTAAATCTGAAAGAATTCTATTGTTTAAGTCGTGATAAGAATAGGATATAAACACATTGTATAATAATATTATATATTATTTTTTTAGATTATATTTGTCATAAGAAAATATAATAAGCATCTTGAAGCAACAAATAAAGGTTGTCAACTACACTTTGTAATTATAAATAATAAACAAAATATTGATTAATCTCGAGTAAAGATTTAGTTGAACTCTTAACAAGTAACAAGTTAATTTTTGGAAAACATTTTAAGCTCCCTGACCACACCTCAATATAACAATACTTTAGAACATACAGCAGATAATGAAGTAATTTAATTAACTTGAAACCACGGCCGAGTTATTTATTATACAGAAAAAATACTGTTAACTGAATCACAAAGATTTATACAAGATTTCCTGGATTATTTTTTAGAACACCGCAATTAATAATTTAGAAAAAGACGCTCATGTTCACAGGTGCAACATAAGTTGTAAATGTATAATAACTTTATATAAGTACATAACTGTATTAAGTTGTAGATAAAAGAGTGAGAACTAGAGCAAGCATGTACAGTATATAGTTACTAGGTACAGCATACTATGGTCCTGACCCTGCCATGTCAGGCTCAGCTGGTTAGCTTAGTCGTTTTA